TTTCCTAACAGTGTTACAGATATTAGATTAGCCCTGATTAATGGCACATGTAGCATATCTTCCAAGGTCAGAGTCTTTTTAGATATGAGTTTCAGAAGAACTCTTCCTTTTCCTAAGACAGGAGTTGTCCTGGAATCACCGAGATAAATATGTTCTTCTCCATCCCCACACTAGTGTAGGAGGTAAAAACACTTCTGTTTGCACAGATGTGCCTGGTAACACCAGAGTCTACCACTCATTTGCTCACATTTGTCACAAGGTTTATTTGGGAAACGACCGCAATAATTGTATCTTCTCCTTTGGCTAAATTTGCCTTAGGAGGATTGTCGTTTCTCATTCCACGTCTACACTGAGTGTATGATGACCTTACTTTCCACAAAAAGTAATTTTTCTTATTGAACGTAAAGTGGAGTTAGATTAGATCTACTGTTTCGTACCGTCTCAACCCTTTCTTATACGTATGTACAAAATAATATGGGGACAAAATAATGTTCTACTTATACGTATGTACAAAATAATATGTGGACAAAATAATATTCTACTTATACGTATGTACAAAATAATATGCAGACAAAATAATATCCTACACTTATGTACAAAATAATATGTAGATCTATTTCATGCGCACGTAACTATTAATTGTTCACTACCAAAACAAATCTCTCACAACATATAATACTCATGCATAATTAATATACTCATGAAGCATAATTCATTTTTTCCTGTTTCATTGGTGTAATAAATCCGAAAAAGGAGCCTGTGTTTGACACGTGTGCTCTATGGACAAGCTGCATGATGTATGCTGATAGCATTTTATATAAAATTTTACCTTTTATCATCATAATTATAACATGCAGTAATCAATTTCATATATGATTCACCTTTAACCCAATCACGTAATTTGCTTTTTCAATTAAACTCAATTACATGATCATTCACATTTCAATAAGAATTTCAGTGCCATTCACACGGGAGCTATGAAATTAATTTCAATTGGAAATTGATTGCAGCTTTAAAACATAGATTATCATTTATTCCTTTATTCAATTTTGGGAAAAACATAATTTAAAAATTATCATAAGAGAAAAATCATAAATCTAATAAGTATGACTTTGATACCACATGTATTTTAATTTGTAGTTTTTATACGTTCCTATTTCTATAAAACTACTCTTCACGTTTAGATTTTTTATTCTCACGTAATAGCATACATGAATCATAATCATATAATAACATACATGAATCATAATCATATAATAACATACATGAATTGATTCTCACATAATAACACACATAAATCATAATCAGAAGACTAACCTTGATCCATGAGCACTTCATAATTCCCTTTCTTTCACTATCCAATATTCTAAAACTGTTGAAGGAAGTTGTTGATGTTCGTACTGTCAGCCATAAGTCCTTAAGATTGTTGTAAAAGCTGACAGAGACACGACCAAACTTTATTCCTGAGGCGTGTATAATCACTGCCCTTAAGGACTTATCCGTAGCTAGGATAAACAGGAACTTCTCGGAATATCCGAGGATTTCAGAAACTAGCAAGAAACTCTCAAAAGAGTAAATTAACCTAGGAATACAGAAAGAAGATCAGAGAAGGGAAGATGAGGATGAGAGAGGTGTGTTCTGAAGAGTGTGAAGTTGTCTCTATTTATAAGAGAAAGTTTGTAACAGTTATGGAAGACTTGGTAGTGGGTCTGTAACGTTCTCTGGAACAGTCTTCTGCAACGTTCTCTGAAATAGTCTTCTGCAACAACGTGTGTGAGAACACGTTCTCTGAAACGTTCTTCTCCAACGTTCTCTGAAACAGTCTTCTGCAACGTGTGAGAATACGTTCTCTGAAACAGTCTTCTACAACGTGTCAGAACACGTTCTTTGTTTTGCAATACCTCTTAATTTACAACAATTGGTACATACACTTTATGAATAAAATTTTTGTTACCAATCTTATACTGCACCACTTCTCCCTTAAGATTAACTTTCACCTTATAGCCATATTTTAGTGTTATTAGTTCACAAGTTTGATTTCTCCTCTCAATAAAGTTAATTTTCTCCTTGATAATTTTTAACCATTCTTCATTAGTCACTTTCTTTTCAAATTCAACATACCTTTTGAATTTATTGTTGAATATTTAAACAACTAATGAACCATTATATTATATGAAATGTTCATGAACTTATTATTGTTGATTTTCTTTTGAACTTTGACCTTTATCTCTAATATCAACTTGTACTTCTACTCTCATCACAAATTATATCCCTTTGAGTATTCTCTTTATTATATAATTTATAAGCATTAATTAAGTGGTACCCAATCAAAATTAATTTTGATTGAGTTTCTTTATCAATTATTTTTCTCTTTAGTTTATTAAGGATATATTTTTTTTCAAAATGAATAAGATACATTAAGTAACTTATATACAATTTTAATCGATCCCAAATTATTTTTAGTATTACACCATCAAGTCTTTTAGTAGGAGAACAATTCAAAATATAACTTATTGATGACCCATCTTCTTCCAATAAATAACTTGGTAAATTTTACTTTTTAATATAAACTTCATCATTTTTGTTATTGTTTTGTTTTTTCTCTTACTTTTACTATATATTAGGGCATATAAGATGGTGTCACTTAATAAACCAATCTTTTACTTTCACAAAATTATTTGAGATCATTTGACAAATATTTCACCATTAGTACTCAAAAGATCTTGATTTCTAGGTAAATTCAAAATTTTCTAGTTAAATCATTAAGGAAAGAAATAAAGTTACGATTTCAAAGTTTATACGTGCATTCGACAAAAAATATTACATAAATCATGCTAAGTTTCTCAATTTATTTTGTGAGAATATATTTGATGGAGTTGTTTCTTGTTTGTTTACATTAAAAAAATTCATTCTTTTTTTTTTTTTTACCTAGACCTAAGGTAATCCTTTAACCATTTTGTGTTTAATAAGAAGGTGTTGGTTGTCTTAAAGTTAAGGTAACCAAATATGTAACGTCAAAATCACTACATTTTGTTATTTCTAATGTAGCGAGATGCTCATGCTTCAAAATATTTATCTTAATCACAATAATTTGTTCTTTATCAAACAACTTGAGATAATTGATCTCCATTGTTATAAAGAATCCCTTTTCAAGTAATTGTCATATACATAAACAACACATATTCAATGATAGTGTATGACAACAACATTTTGATCACACAAAATATTGATAAAAAAATAAATAAATTATTAAACTAATATAGTATAATTAACTCATATCAAATATCACAAAAATATAGTTATAGGTATGCACTTATTATCACACATCATTTTTTCTAAAGATAATAAATAAGGGAGTATAAGAACGAAAAAAAATTGATACAGAATAATAAAAATTAAAATAAAATTACAATAGAATAATAATGATAATTAAAATTAAAATAAAATAATTTTAATTAAATTCGAAAATTGCTAGAATGAAGTGTAAAATAAAAAATTACTTTAAAATAAAAAGTGTGGTAATTAAATTTAAATATGTTTGAAAGTGATAAACCTAAAATTAAGTAATAAAAGATAATCAAACAAAAAAAATATATATTAAAAAATTAAATTTGTGTGTAAGTGAAATTACATGAAAACAGTAGAATTGTAATTGGAATAAATAAAAGATAAATTAAAAATAGAAATTAAGCAGTACATAAAATAAAAATATAAAACAACTAAATAACAGAAATAAAACTAATTACTGAATAAATAAAGTAAATAAAATAATATAAATTAAAAAATTGAATAGAAATTGTTATTTAAATAAAAAAGGATAAATCGAAAATAACAATAAATAAATTTGCCTAATTAAAAATTGAAAACAAAAAAGAAAATGAAAAACTTATCAAACTATATAAAATTGTGCTCTTATCAAACATTTATTTATTGAACAAGAGGAAATAAGTCTTAAATTAATTACAATAAAATTAAATATTTCTCAAATTAAAATTGTAAAACTATATTGTTATGATGAAAAATTTATAAGATTGATTTGAAATAAATATTTCATTTCTTTTTATTGTTTTAAGTGGTGTGACGCTTATTTATATTTAATTTTTTATTCTTACTAGCTTTAATTTAACTAAATTAGATTTTCTACAACAATTAATTTATTTAATTCAAAATTTATTTATATAAGACTTACTAAATCAGAAACAAACTAAAAATAGAAAACAATTGAAACAAAAACCAACATTCCCTTCATCTTTTTTATTTATAAGTTGTCTCTATATAATCTGATTATTTTTTATTTAATTTTATTTTATTAATTTCATCTCTTTTGTCTCAAGAGAATATTTTAGAAATTTCAAATTTACATTGTACAGGTCGTTTATCTCTTTAATTATAATAACTACGTAATCAAATTGTAGTGACAAAGTTTTTTAATATAGTTTTTGAATGTTATAAAAGTAATAAAATTGATTATTTATCTCCATGCTAAAAAATTAATGTTGCCTTTTTAATGTATGTAACTTTACCTTTTCTCTCTATCTCCATGTGCTTAGTAGGAAATCTCATTTTTCATTTGATGTAGAGACTTTGAAACCCATGCTAACTTGTTCATACATTTATATAATTTTAATAAATTCTAACCATTAAAAAAAATGTTAAAAAAATGTGCTGTAATACTTCTCATTCTAATAACTCATGAAGTATTTGTAATAAGAAAAAGTTTTTTCTTATAATAAAAGTGATAGAACAATTTTTTTTTCATATTGAAACTATTATTTGTAAAATATGTTATACAAAGTATTAATTAATAAAAAAAAAACTTAGAACATCTGACAATTACAGTGAAGAATTATTTGATCAACCACCGTTAAATAGTCTGACATATGTAAGGAGATACATATTTCCCCTCCAATTAAATAAAGATGTTTGAACAACAAAGCGGTTGCAATGTCACGCCGACAACGTAACAATAAAATGAAACTTGTGTTCGGTACAACGTTAGCCTAGGCTTCCATCGTGTGAATGAAATCTTTAACTAACGCATTGAATTGGTGTGCTTTCAATGGCACAAAAAGTTCCACTCCATGGAACCCTTCTTCTTGAAAGTCCTTCACCACTTGCACCCCTTTTTCTTCCATCAACAGTACCAACTCCTTGTCACGATCCACCAATGGGTCACCATTGGTGCCACTCACCAATACCCTCCACCCAAGTTCCCTCATCTTGTCGAATTTCTCAACCCCATTTCCAGCCCTAACATTGCAGTACTCATGGCCACGATCAGCACCGATTGGCAGCGCCAATTCCCACATAAAATCCGTCACACACAATGGAATAAGTGGGTTATGTTCAAGCCTTAACTCTGACTCTGTCCTCTGCGTTCCACCAAAGAATGGTTGACGCAATATCAAACCTTGGATCTTCAGTGGTTCAAGATCATTTACCTCTTCAATTGCACGAAGACCTGCAAAGAAAAACAAAAACACAATCAATTTTTTTAAACAAATATTCAAAGTTAAAGTTCACAAACACAGATAGCACTACAAGTTATTAAAGTTTTTCCAATATCTAGTTGTGAATATTTCTTTCTTTCATTAAATCTTTTTTATTTTACCCTTTAAATAAAATATTAAGGGATTTTTTGTTTAACTCGCTTATAGCTGTTTTTACCATATAAAATTACTATTTTTTTCCTTTAATCAAACATTTTTATTCATTACTTACAGTAATCTGAAAAACTAACTTTACCGAAGCAGCACATTATTAAATTATAAAAGCTTCTATAATACATGAATATATAGTAAGAATCTAAAATTAAAATTAAAAATATTTATTAATTATTATTTCATTTATATTTTCAAGTATCTTAAAATATTTAGAGTTTACTTTTTCACATACAATTACATTCTTTCGGTGGAATTTTGTTTCATGCATGTTTAACACTAAATATAAACACTTATTTTGATAAAAAGTTTTAAACTTTTGAATTTTATATTGTAAAAAACTACTTCCTTCAATTCGATTCAACCATTAACTAAATTTAATATGAATATATTGTTGTAAAAAACTACTTCCTTCAATTCGATTCAGCTCATTAACTAAATTTAATATGAATATATTGATAACGTAAAAATCTTACATTATTATTAAATAGTATGCTATAATGATTATGAAAGAGATGATAACAATACACTTTCTAACGTTTATTTATTTATTAAGGGAATAGTCAAATATAGATGCTAAATATAGTGTATTTAAAAAAATTCAAAATAGAAATAAACCATTGAAAATACAATTTCCAAGGGCATCTAAATTTGAATTGTAATGATTAAAAAATTATTTTAAATTATTTATCAATAGAATTTATTAAAATTATTTTTTTTATCATTATGTGAAGTTTACGTAATGTGACTTATGAATATGGGATACTAATAATAATAAAAAAAGTACATTTTATAATTTTTTGTTTTTTAATTTTAAAAATTTTAAAAATAATAATTATTTTAATAAATCAGGTACTAATGAAATTTTAAAATTTTTTAAAACTAAAATATCAAAATTTATTTTTAAAATTACTAATTAATCAAACTAACATACATTAATTAATTTTAATTTTTTTAGTTTTTGAAAACTAAAATACTATATATTATATTTAAATCTAATTTTAATAAAATTGTTATAAACAAATTTTTAAATTATTAATTTTAAAAAAATTAAAAATTAAATTTATTTGGAAACATTAAACAAAGAAGCCTTGCAGTAAATGATGCAAAGCGAGCCATCAATTATTTAAAAGCAAGCAAAGGAAAGTCAAACATTTAATAAAGTATTTTTTTTATAGTGTTGATAAGTGACCTGCGTGGTAGGCGATGCTGGCTCCGGCGCTATTCCCCGTAACATAACACTTCGAATAATCCGCGTATTGCCTCAACCACTCATCTTCGCTCTTTCCGATCCACCGCAGCGCCTCCATGGCATCATCATACGCCGCCGGAAGCCGGTGTTCCGGCGCGAGGCGGTAGTCGACGGAGGCGACTATAGCCTGAGCGGTGTTGGCCATTTGGACGCATAAATCATGGAAAATGGAGGAAGCGGCACTGAGTAGCACGAATCCGCCTCCGTGAAAGAAAATGATGAGAGGTAGCTTGATGGGGTTGGAAGAGGAGAGTGGTGCTCGTGGTAGGAATAAGCGTAGCCACGTGCCGTTTTGTGGGTTGATGGTGATGTCTTTGGTGAGAACAGGGATGGGAAGCGAGGGGTCTGAAGAGGGTGGGGTGCATGGAACGGCTTTGTTGTGGCGAGTGAAGGTGCCGTCGGGGTTGCGGAAGATTTGGAGGTGGTGGTAGGGGTCAATGGTTTCATTGGACATGGTGGAAGTAATGGAGAAACTTGTTTTGGTTTCTTTTCGATTACAGTGAAGATTTGCACAAACTATTTGAAAAACTTGATAATGGAATTAACGATTGTCTTCTTTAATATCAATCTGCACCGACCACATTCTTTAATATTTATCAGCCTAATCATAAAACTAAAACCCTAATCACAAATACTGGCATAAACGTTTTACCAAATCTTATACTAAATGCATACCATGTTCTCCTTTCAAGCCTCATATTTAAAAAATAATAATAACATTGTTGTTAGAAAATCAGTAGTCAACAAAAAAAAATCTATAAACATTTTAATGTAAACAGGTTGTTTCTAGTGACTGTAATTTTTTTTTCCATACAATAAAAGTGAGAAAAATTTATTTCGATGTTGAAATAATTATTTATAATATATAGTCATTAAAAAATTAAATGCCTATGTTCAATATTAAGAATATTGTAATAAACACTTTCTAAGTCACGTATCTAATTAGTTGAAAAAAATATGCATTTAAAAAAAACATTTTTGAAATAAAAATTAACATTTTAAGATGAATTATTTTTTAAACTAGAAAACTTTTAAGATCAACCCACCATATGCTATTTGATCAATCTATTTAACATATTATAAATTGATTCCATAACAATCAATTTAGAAATATTGGTTGCGGGAGAAATCAATCTAGAAAGTCTTGTTAACTAGGAAGTATGTTTTTCTTGGTAGATTATAATTATAACTTATCTAAAAATGTAATTCAATCTGAAAAGTCTATATACTTATATTATGTATATCTAAAAATATATTTGAACTAGTTCTTCCAATGATCTCCCAAAAGATAAAAGCAAGAAAAAAATTAATGTTAACTTCTTTATAAATTAAAATTAGATTATACATCAATTAATTTGTAGAATTTTTTATATATACCTTCTCTAAATTTTTTATGATGATCACAAATCAGTTGTAGTTTATCAAATTATTAAAAACTTGACAAATTTTGAATTTTTTTCCATGAATTACGTAATATTCAAATAACACGCGTATATCATTCATACAATAATAAAATTAGTAGAATTGATTCTCCGTCGCGAAAAAAGAGAAGAAGATAATATCTAATCTTCAATCTTATCTTATTTTTATCTTGTCTTGATTTTATATTCAATCATAAACTTTAAAATATTAACTTTTTAAATTTTTTTTTCTCAAATCTCATATTGTGTCATTTTTTTCACTATTTCACACTTTTCTCCTACCCAAATTTTTATCCTTTTACATTTTTCAATTTCTTCAATCAATTAATTTAATATATTAATATTTTTATATCACTTTTATTTTTATTTTTTTTACATTTTCATAATCTCTTCAATTAATTTGATTTTTCGAATCTCTTTAACCAATTTAATAAATATAATTTTTTTTATTTTTATTGTGCATGAATATATTATCACATAATATTATTTTATTTCTATTCAATTTTATTATTCTCATTTCTCATGTATCAAATTTTCTAAATGATTGATAATAATCTGTAGTTTACAGTAATTAAATAAAAAACACTTTATTAAATATATTTTTATAAATTATATATTTCATATTTATTAATATTTTAAAACGATAACTTAAAAAAAAAACTTATAATCAAAGTTTAAATACATTCCTATAATATATAATAAAAATGTTATAAATATTTGACATCTATATAAAAAATATGAAATATTTTTTACACATATATTTTAATATAAATATAATAAGTTAAAATAAATATTCAATTAATAATAATAATTTAATTTAAAAAAAAATAATACATAAAAAAGAATAACGTTATAATAATTTAAAAAATAAATCAGGAACAAATAAACCCAAAATCCAACCAAAAATTGATAGAAAGGATGGTTAAAAAAAATGGCAAATAGAGGGCAGGGAAACAAAACCCTTCACCACCACCCCGCTAATGATCGATAACAAAGTAAAACTCAAACATGTCTTTGGTACACACATTATCTATACAATAAATTAATTATTTCATAGCTTATTATTCTTATGGTGTAGTCATCAAATTTTATTATATAGTTACACATTGCGCGGATTATCAAAAACATAAGCATGTGATAGTAGGTAATAATTTTTTATGTTCAATTATTGTAAATGAAACCCTTAACTAATGTAGTGAGGTGTCGTGTTTTAGATGGCTCAACAAGCTCTATTCCATGGAAGTCCTTCACCACTTGCACCCCTTCTTCTTCCATTAATTGTGCCAACTCCTTCTCACGATCCTCAAGTATGTCTCCACCAGTGCCACTCATCAATACCCTCCATCCAACCTCTCTTATCTTCCTCATTTTCTCTACTCCATTCCCAGCTCTTACATTGCAATATTCATGGTCACGATCTGCACCAATAGGCAGTGCCAGACTCAGTCCTCTGCATGCCACCAAAGAATGCTTGATGCATTATCAATCCTTGGATCTTCAATGGCTCAACATGGATCTCCTTTTCAGCTACGCGCAGACCTGCAACAGGATTTTGTTAACCTGTCCAACTCAACTCATAGAAAATAATATAGAAAAAATGTGTGTTTTTTTATTTAGAAAGAATGATAACTTGTTTAATGAAAAACCATGTATAACATCTACATAAGAACAACCGTTAACACATAATTGCACTTAGTCTGAAAGAGAAAGAATTGATCGACATCCATTTTTTCATTCAACAACCTCATTTAATAATATAATAATAATTTTAAATTACTTTAATTTTATCAAATTTATTTATGATTATAATAATAATAATAATAATAATAATAATAATAATAATAATAATAATAATAATTTTATCTTCTCCAATTCTAATAATATTTTTTTTCTTAACAATATTTCCCTTAAATTAAAATTTTATAGTTTTTCAATTTAATTTATAGTGTAGATTCATCAATTTTCTTAAAAAAATAAAAATCTTGAGAGATTTTGTAAATATATTTATGACATAATTTTTATTTTTATAATATTGTAGACCAATGGTGTTATAATGTTGCATTCTCTTGAAAAATTAATATTTCACATTTATATATATTTATTTCTCCCATATAATAATGGATTCTTGAATAATTTAATAACTGAACTATTATCCTAGAATATTGTAGTTATATGAGGTGTTTAAAATTTATATGTTCAAGAATTCTCCTTATATTCATATGGCTCAATATTACAAATAAGAGTTCTTACATCGGTTATAAAATCAATGTAGATGTTATAAATAAAAAGTTGTAATATTTAACATCAATTGTAAATTGATGTAGAAAAAAATACATACTAAGTTGGTTGTCTTATCATCTGAGGTAGTATACTCGAATTTAAAAAAGAAAAGATTAGGGACATATTACATAGGTTATATTAATAATGTGATGTGATTTTAAAACAAACATTTTATTTTTATCACCTACAATTGTAATAAAATTCCAAACTATTTTTCAACCAATTACAATTTTGTTTCTAATAACATATATTATACATATTCCTATATTTTAAACTATAAGAAAATAAATTAAAACAATAATAAAATAAATTCAAATTTCTAACCTAGAAGGAAAAACATATAGGGCTGCATGAGACAAAAGAAGTGAAAATATAATATGATTTACGGTGATTAATGGAGTAGTGTGGATTTGTCATGTTACGAAGTTGCATGTTGCATGTAGAAGCTTGCGGAAAAGAAGAACATGTAACATAGAGAAGAAGAGATGACACATGAGAACGGTTAACAGTGTTGTAGTGGAGGAGAACACTTGATGATGTCACGATAAAGGAGAATGGTTAGTGGTTTTGACGTGGAGGAGAACAACTAACGGTGTTATGATGACAAATGAAGAAATGAGAGAAGACCAAAGAGAGAAGAAAGAAGAAACTACAAAAATGTGATGTAAATGAATATGAATTCATGCAACACAAATGAAAAGTGAGAGAGAATATGTTAGGTTACCCTATTTTAATGAATTTTTACATCGGTTGTTCTTTAAACAGATATATAATGTAGATATTATACCAATTGTAAAGAAAGGTAATGTAGTATCTATTTTCTATATCGATTTCCTCTACAACACTTGCATGATCATAAGTGAAGGTAATAAAAGTATTTCTTTAATACTAAAATATCATCAATAAAAGTAACAAAATAATTTTTACCTTCATTAAAAGATGTATTTATTGGACCACAAATATCTAAGTATACCGATTCTAATACATTATTTGTTCTCCATGACTTGTTACTAGGAAATTAAGAATGATGTATTTGCTAACAATACAATCCTCACACACCCAACAAAGATCTTGAATTTGAGGATGTCTCGTAACCATTTTCTTCTTACTAAAAAGTTTTACTCAAAAATTCAAACGTCATAATTATCATGAGTCTTTGATTTCAGTTATCAAACAAGACTTATTAACAATTTCAATCTTCAATCGAAATAGTCTATTGAAACTCATCTGCACAACAACAATAAAACCTCTAATAGAAACATATATTTCACAAGCATCTTGTTTAATATTAATTATATAGCCCTTTTTTTTTAATTAGTTAGCACTCAATAAAAGTTACTTTTCAAATCAAGGACATACATTTTGTTTTCACAAAATCATTATTGGTTTTTATTTTGACATCACTTTTACCCCTCACTTTTATAGAAGACAAATCACCAAAACTAAAAGTCAAGTGAAAATCCTCGTTTAACTAAAAAAAAGAAGACTCGCATCTATTCATGGTTATTATAGCCTCTATCAACATATTAAATTTCTAACTACATTTTGTTTTCTTTATGGATAACATTGAAGTTTCTGCTTCGATCACTTTTTTTATACAATATGAGTTTTCTCTTCTTTTTTCTTCTTTTTTATATCATTAGGCATTCAAGTATAACATTCTAAAATATAATGACCCTATTTATGACATTTAAAACATTTTACCTTATATTTAGCTTTGAAATGTCTATTTTTCTCTTTATGTCCCCCATCTTCTCTTCGTCTTCCTTAAGCTCCACTCGTTCCTCTCTTAAGTTGTTGAATTGAGTTTTTGTATAAACTTACAAAGTTTGCTTGTTTGTAGTTGGTGGTGGTTCTTAAATTCTACACATAACAACTATATAGAATTCTTTTAAAGAATTCTTTTGGCCATAATTTTTTTTTGCATAAACATACTTTAATGATCCTAGTGACTATCAACATGAGGAATGATAGCTTGGATAAAACTTGAATCATTGATTATTGGTATAAAAATTGAGAAAGGAGAAGATTGAAAAACGTTAAGTAACGTATTTTAGTATTTGACACTCAAATTTCAAGTTTTTGGTTGAATATCACTTATAAAAAATAAAATAAAAGAAAAAAAAATGATAATTAGTCCTATAAATATATTATAGCAGAACAATCATATAATAACTGTCACTATACATAATAACGTATCATTGCATAATTTAAAAACTAAAAATTCTACTAATAATTAAAAAAAAGTTAATATTAATTTATTTTCATAACCATATTTCTTCTACATTTAAGTTAGATTGAGACCCAACTTAAATTAGATTTAAAGCAAAGTTTGACGAAAAGCTTTTTATAATTGACTAGAGAAAAATCCTCAACTCTATTGCATAGTAACAGAAATACATCAGAGAAGAGAAAGGTATTTGAGAGAAAAAAAAACAAGTGGAGTTCAAATGCATAACAAAGTGATGTATCACTTGAAAAAGAAATTTGTAATTGGATAACTATTTAAGAAAGAAACTAATAACAATATTCCAAGTTGTTTTACGAAAAATATTTATTAAAATATTATGATAAAATGTGGATGCTTGAACTATTATTGCTAAATTAGTTTTTATTATGATAAAATTGTTTATCTCAACTATTTCTTCCTTCAATAAATCATTTATAAAGTTTTGACAAAGTATTTACAATAATTTTCTAATAATAAAAATCAATAATTTAAAAAACTACTAACTTAATCTCAATGTATATAAGTTAAAAAAAATTATATCCTTTTTGAAAGTTTAAAGTTTCAATAATAAATTTATAATATTTTTTAAAGAATCAAAATCGTTAAATTATAATTTAATATCAAGGATAATTTTTACATAATTTTCTAAATGTTGAAAAGTTTAAGCAAATATTTATAATAATTAAACTTAGTAATTTCAAATGACTTATTTAACGTGAATTATTTTTAGTGTCAAGAAAACATTATAATATTTAAAAATAAATTTTCAAAAAACAATAATATCAACTTATGGTTGAAAAGAAATTATCTCAAATCAAGCGCAAACATAAAGTACTTAATGTTTTTATTTCAACTAAAATAACTAAAGTATTTTGACACCCATTTTTTTTCTTTTTCATTTTAAACATTAAAATTAAAAAAAAATGTACATCTAATTAAAAAATAAATAAACTTTTACTCAAAGCATAAATATTATATAAGCCAACCGCCTGGTTTGTCAAGCGTACGTCCAACCGCCAAATAGAGCAGCGTTGAATGACCAGAATAAAAATATATTTTTTATTATTTTTAATTTTTTTATTAAATAAGTTAATATTTATTATTTTTAATTATTAAATTACTTAATAATTTAAATTACAATTTTTTTAAACAAGATAATATAAAAATATAATATTTAAATTATAATATATTTTATTTTGATAAAACTAAATTTAATATAAAAAGATTGGTGGGTTCGACGGTTTATGCCTTGATGAGATAGGATTAGTCATAACAGATCGATATATTAAAATAATATTAGTCATCTCTATTAATATGATAATAAAAAAATAATTGTTTATGAAATTCAAATAATTATTAATTAATTTAAAATAGTATTATATAATATTATTTTGAGTTGCATATATATTTATTTGAATTATGAAACAATCATCTTTCTATTATAATATATCCACACATAAATAGAGATAAACAATTCACAATTCATACATGTAAGTTAAAAAAATGTTTTAACTTAATTATATATATATATATATATATATATATATATATATATATATATATATATATATATATAATATGACCCTTATTTTAAAAATGTAAAGTTATTCTGAAAATAAAATTAATATTTTTGAAATATTAAGCATAAAGTAATAATAACAATCACCTGCATGGTAAGCGATTGTGGCCCCAGCGCTACTCCCCATAACATAACACATTGAATAATCCGCATAATGCCTCAACCACTCGTCTTCGCTCTTTCCGATCCACCGCAGCGCCTCCACCGCATCGTCGTACGCCGCCGGAAGCCGGTGCTCTGGCGCCAGGCGGTAGTCGACGGAGGCCACGATAGCCTCAGCGGTGTTTGCCATTTCGACGCAGAAATCGTGGAACAAGGTGGTAGCTGCACTGAGTATAACGAAGCCGCTTCCGTGAAAGAAAAGGATAAGAGGTAACTTCTTAGGGTTAGGGTTGGAAGAGGAAAGTGCTACTCGAGGTAGGAATAAGCGTAGCCAGGTGTTGTTTTGTTGGTTGATGGTGATGTCTTTGGTGAGAACTGGAATGGGAAGAGAGGGGTCTGAAGAGGGTGGAGTGCGTGGAAAAACGTCGTGTTTGCGAGTGAAGGTGCCGTCGGGGTTGCGGCGGAGTTGGAGTCGGTGGTAGAGGTCAGTGCATTCATTTGGCATGGTGGAAGTAATGGAGAAACTCGTGTTAGTTTGTTTCCTCTAACTGTGAAGATATGCATAGTCTTTTGAGACTTCAATGAGGTTTATGTAAAGAATTTAGTTAATTAATCTATATTTGACAAAAATAGATTATAACTATAGAGCTTTAAGATCTTCATCCAAAGAAGAAACCATCTTGGTAGAAGCCAATCTTAAAAAATCATCCGTCCAAACACCTAAAAGATTAAGTCATAATGAAGTCATTAGCCATATACCTGAGGAATGGAAATTAGAGAAATAATACAAGAAGGTCCAAATATTAGATTAAAAATGAATAGGTCATCTTCCTTAACAATAAGAGAACCACAATTAATTAGCAAAGGACAATCTTCAAGACACTCGATAGATGAATCAACATTAAATTTACATTTTAAGGATTTTAAAGATTCGAACGATAATGCAAATTCCGTCAAAGCTAGCACCCACTTTCCTATTCGATGATGCATAATAGGTTTTTACAAAAGAAATTTTAAAATATTATTTCTGGAATAAACCATCACATCGTGAGACTTCATTATATACTTATGTTTCGTACAAGAGAAATACAAACACAATCTTAACTTTTCGATATCGTTGTATCGAGTTTCAGCATCATTTAAGATTCTACTTAGATAATAAACAACACATTCCGCATCATTCTTATCCTCCTGTGCTAGTAGACTGACTATAGTTCGATCTGATGCTGATACATATAGTTTTAATGACTTGTTTCTCATTACTGGTATCAAAATCGGAGGATTTGTCAACATCAATTTGATCTGCTCAAAGACTTTCTGATGTTCTTCCTTCCATTTGAAATCTGCTTCCTTTTTCAACCTTAACAAAGACGAAAAAAATATAAGTCTTACCAGCCAAGTTAGAAATAAATCGTCTTAAATAATTTATTTTTCTCAAAAATTATTGCAACTGTTTTTTAGTCTTTGGAGCAGAAGTATCTAATATAACTTTTGCTTTATTCTTATCGATCTCGATCCCTTTTTTGTGCATTATGAATCCTAAAAATTCACCAGCAGACACACCAAAAGCACATTTCAAGGGATTCATTTTTAATCCATATTTCTTCATTAATTCTTTCAAAAGATTTTCTTAAATTACCCAAATGTTTATGTTTTTTTTTCGATACAACAACAATATCATCTATGTAAACTTGCATAAAATCATTGATCAAATCATGAAAAATTAAATTCATTGCTCTTTGATATGTTGCCCCTACATTTTTCAATCCAAATGACATCACTATCCATTCATAAGTACCCAATGCCCCCGGGCATCGAAAAGCTGTTTTAGCTATATCATTCTGGGAAACAAAAATTTGATTATATCCTGAATAACCATCTAACAGACTTAACATTTCATTACTAGCTACTGCATCTATTAGCATATCTGCTATTGGCATAGGATATTCATCTTTACGAGTTGCTAAATTTAAATCTCGATAATCAATGCATACTCTCATTTTACCATTCTTTTTAATAACTGGAACAATATTAGAAATCCACTCGACATACCTGACAGTCCTAATGAACTTTGCTTTCAGAAGTCTCTCGATCTCTTCTTTAATCTTACCCATCACCTCAGGTGTAAATCTTCTCGGGGCTTGTTTTACTGGTTTCCTGTCTTCTATGATAGGTAATCTATGTTCGACTAGACTTCGATCCAAACCAGACATTTCTTCAGAATCCCAGGCGAAGCAATCTTTATACTCTTCCAATAATGAAATCATATCTTTTTTCATTTCTTTGTCGAGATACCTGCTAACATAAGTAGGCTTTCAGTCTTCTATACTCCCCAAGTTGATCTCTTCTAAGGGATCTTGGGTTTCGACTTTTTTGTGATTCGATGTGATGGATCTTTCAAAACCTAAAAGAGAATTATCATAAATGCAATCAAGTATGACTTGATCACTATTATTTGCTACTACTGTCGAGTAAATTGACTTATTTATTTCTATCTTAGTACTACTACTTTCTTGGCCCTCCTTTTCATCTTCATATTTTCTTAATCGAGCCAAGAATTCCTCATAATCTCTATTCATTTTCATTGGCCACTTCGAGGCTGGTCCTCTCTTTAATCATGATAAATCCTTTTTTCTCATTCATTTCCAAGAAACGCTCCTCATGCAATTTTGAATTAGAGTTTTCGACGTCTCGAAGGTGAATGGTTGAGTGAGCGCCAAATTCTGCAATGACCGACCAGCCTGAGATACAAATGTCACAAACTCGTGCTGATCCCCTGAAATTATTTCGAGATGTCCATCTCGATTCCACATAAACAATTTATGATGAGTCGTAGAAGGTACGGCTCCAACTCCATGAATCCACTCCCTGCCAAGCAACGCATTAAAGTTGACCTGTGATTGGACCACTACAAACACAGTGGGCTAAAACTAGTGGTAGTGTTTTGAACTAATGGGTTTAGTACTGTGGTCAACTGTTGTGATAACATGTTAACCATCTCAAAATTGATTTCATCCATTTGTTGTCGAAGTACTCCTAATGAATTACTGGAAATTCCAGTACTAGCGTTTTCGATAGTCTCAAAATTAGATCGATGATAATCTTTATCGAATGTATATCTCCCGTGATCCAGGTTTGCTCTGTGATCTAAGTTTGATATTGGAGGCGTCTGTTGTGTTCCTAAATTCTGCGCATTCCCTGAATTTTGGGGTGTTACTAAATTTTGAGACACCCCTAAATTTGGGGATACTCCAAAATTTTGAGGCATACCTAAGGTTTGACCTGTTCCTAAGTTTTGGGGCATTCCTAGGTTAAATCTCGTACTTCGTTGTATTGAAGAAGTACCAGCCCCGTTCATATTATTAATCGAAAAATTAGGAGGCCTTACACTCATATGCGGACCTGCATATGTTGTTACGGGATTCCCCGTAGTTTGTATATTGTTTGACATTACAGTACTCGACCCTAACTGAGTGTTTACTAATGTGCCAGAGCTTTGTTCAGTGCTCACAAGTATCGACATACTCACAGTTGTTGATATCACGGACATATTCCCATTGTGAACTTGCCCCCCAGTGTTTGGTGAATGTGAACTATTTAGAATCTCACTGTTATTCTGATTATGTGGTGGATTTTGACTCATTCTTATTACTCGTTCACTCCTTAATCTCATACACTTTCAAACTAGCCAATTGTTTGTGTTTTTCGACACAACTGACCCCTACCTGGCGCGTCAATTTGTTTCTGGTGGAAATCTAATCGATTTCGATTTCTAGGAGACCTAGGTTCTAATCAAATTTCAACCACATAGATTCTTTTTACTTCGGCTATCAAACAATTTTCAATCGAAACATGTATGAGAATCGAAAATATCATAGTGTCGAGAAATGCAATATATCACACAGATTGACAATCGAAAGTACTCTTTTTGATATTTTTATTAAGAAACGTGAAATAAAGGAAGTAGTAAAACACATCGAAAATGAAAGGCTGTACATAATATTAAATTACAGAGAGATGTAAATGCAGAAACCTTGAAATTGAGAAATGTAAATGGCGGGAATGGAAAATTCGTGAAAGTAATATAGCAAGGAATCGAGATTGCAGTAATGTAAATAACAGGAAAATGAAATTGCAGAAGTGTAAATGGTAAGGAATTTAAACGCAGAACCTTAACTTGTATAAAGATAAAAATGACAAGGAATTGAAAAGGCAGAAACTGAAAGTTGATAAACATAAATTGCACGAAAGTAAATTACCAGGGAAAGTAAAGAAAGCGATAAAGACAATCAATGAAAATGGAAATCCAGATCGCCAGAAACTTCATGATTCGTCGTTTCTCCGGTAGACTTTTCACTTGTGTTTTTGTTGTCTCTGCCAATTTCCCCTCCCTTCTTCAAGCTTCATTCTATTTATAGGCATCCTTCAATATAACCTCCCAAGAGCAGTTTAAAAACTGTCACCATGTTCTATGTGCACGTTCTTCGATTTTTACCTTAGTTTACGGTTTAGAAAACCGCTTCCACGTTTAATGTGCATTATAACCATTTCTCGATTTCTAACCTCAGCCGCGATGTGAAAAACCACTCCTCATGTTCCATCTGCATGATAACCGTTTCCCTCGATCTCGATTCCAGTTATCGAGTTCGATTTCCCTTAACCTTGACCTTACACTATACTTTATCACTTACTTTCGTCGATTTGTTTCTCTCTTTTCTGATTCTCGATTTTCATTCTTGATTTATATGTTCATACTATCTCGTGATCACCGGGTGTCTTTCAACCATCTTTCCGATCATGTGATCTTCGATTTTCTCTCTTCCATTTTTCGATCTTTGTATCGATTTACCGCTAACACTATGTTGATTTTTAGTTTTGAAGCAGTAAAAACAATTATATAGTTGGTAAAAAAACATATTAATTATAGTGATGAACACAATTATCATACTTGTATAAAGGTTTGTAAATATTGAATGTCATACTTGTTTTGTTATTATGATTGTGATTAATAATTTTCTTGATTGTACTGGTTTTAGATATATGCAAGACATTGTATGGATATAAAGTTATTAGTTAATGTAAATTCTACATTAATCGATTTTCAAAAAAGACAAATTTTGATGACAACGTTCAAGGTAACAATGTCATTGTTTGAAAAAAAAAAAAACTAGTGTATTATTAAACGAATTACTGAATGTTTGATAGTTGTAGTTTTAGAATTAGGTATAATGTTTTGTCATTGACATTGGTTTTGAGTTTATTTACTTGTGGGTTTGCCAAAAATGAAGAGATATTGTTTGTTGGTATAGGTGAAGATTATCATATTAAAAAATTATTCAAATGGAAAGAATTGAGTGTTGAAAATATAATGATATTGTTAGGTGAATTATATAGTGAAGATGACGTTGATGACTTTTGTAAAGTATATATATTGTTTTTATTTGATTTTTTTTTCATAGTGAGAAGTTTGAATATTAGTATTGAGATTTTTAGACTATGTTGATG